TGCCATCTTTGACAGTAAATTAAAGTATCGATCAATTGATGGTGCTTCCTTTAATAGTCTAGTTAATAATATAGAGGACTAACGTGTTCGCTTTTAGAAAATGATAAATTTGGACTACAAACATTTTAACGAAGCGACACAAGTTGTTTAATTTGAAAAATTGGCTTACCGTCAGTCGGGGCTAGTTTGCTCCATTTTTGAGTACTTGATTTCATTATTTTATAAAAACACCACTGTTTGTCACTTAAATTCAGGTATAAATATTGATTTGTACTCTAAACTAATGTGAAAGAGTAGTGCTACCCTCAAAAAACATGAAAATCAACTGTTATGATTTTATTTTTTTTTAAGTGGGGCAAAGTAACCCATAAGAGCGGGTTCAAATACGTTTTATATGTGAAATGACTGCATAAATTAAGTTATTATTAGCTTAGGCAATGAAATATTACTCTGCTTACCTTCAGAATTACGCTGAATCTCGTACAGGTAACACTTTTTTGGAGGTAAACTTAGATCAACATTTGCCTCATCAACTTTAAACCACCAAAACAACTAAACAAGATAGCCGAAGAGCACAAGATTGTATCTAAATGTGAACAGTGATAATACCTAGTGGGGAAACCTGTAACTAAGTCATTATGTTACATTAAAATGCCACTAGATGGCACTGACATCTTTTCTCAGAAGTGGGGCAAAGTTATACCCCCAGGAGCAAAGTAGCCCCGACTGACGGTACCTGAGAAGCTTTCTATTCTCTTTACTGAATCTGTTATGGCTGGCTGCAAAATCCGTGGGCTTTTGGTAAATTTGGCGACTGTCTCCATTTCTGGTAGGCCCATGGTTGGCTCGTCTGCATCGACCTCATCATCATCAAGGGTTGTTGGGGCTTTTCCGGCTTTTTGCTTAAATGCATACGGCAACAAAGTCTGGAAAACCCATTTTATATCAGTTGGCACAGTGGCTTGCCTGAGTGGTTTAAGTTAAATTAACAAATCTGTATGATCCAATAGACAACTGTTAGTTTTTTCAAATAAAATCAGTGATAAAATCTACTATGATACCTCTACCTTTAAGCATAATAGGCCTAGCCTATTTATGCTTCTAAAACTCTTAAACCTTTGATTTCATTTTACCGACATGGGGTAGGCCTACACAAAAAAATGTTTTAGTCATTTTATCTTAATTGTAGCCTACGCTTCATTAAAAATTTACCCTATTTTTTATTAATTATACGAACTCAGGGGTGCTTTGTTTCTAAGCTACCTACGTTGAAAAAAATTATCTTTAATCATTTTACGCAACATGAACAGATATTGGGAAACAACTTTATATACACCTTAGGTAAGTTATACAATATATCGATAGGCTATTATATTGCTAATTACAGTTCCGCAGAGAATATGCAATTTTATTTACTATCGGATTAAATACCACTATCAACTATTTATATTTTCTTTAATTTGGACTATACGTTGCGCTGTGGTCTTAGGCCTAAGGTAAGTAAACCTTTACGGTATTAACCTCAAACCTCAAACCTCATTAGTAGGCAATGATAATAGGCCGGGTTCAATAGTTGCACAAGATGCAAGGTAAAAAGGAGTGTCAGTTGGCCCAAAGAGAAGAAAGAGAAGAATCTTCTTACAAATAAATAGTCAGACAAGGACCAATGAACAATTCCTAGAAAACAGTGATCCAAGACGTACAACACCCTTAACACAAATTCAAAATCTCAACTTTGTCAATGATTTTATTCTTGACTATATGCATTTGATCTGTCTTGGAGTAATGCGTAAAATGCTATTCACTTGGTGTTCAGGGCAGCCTATTACAGCAAGAATTTCAGTCAGCCAACAAACAATTTTGTCCGAAAATCTTCTCTCTTTAAGGAATGCAGTACCTGAAGAACTTGCACGACGACCTCGTGAACTATCAAATCTGAAATATTGGAAGGCAACTGAATTCAGAACGTTTTTACTTAATTTAGGACCTGTTGTTTAAAAGGATATTTTTAATCCAGACAAGTACAGAGACTATTTGACACTTCATATTGCTGTAATTTTACTTAATAGTTATACACGTAAACATAATGATATGCTCCGTTATGCTCATGATTTGTTAAAACACTTTATAACAAATACAATTAACCTGTATGATCAAAGTTTGATAACACATAATTTTCATGGGCTAATACATGTAGTTGATGATGTCACCCACTTTTCTTAAACAATTCTTAATGTCACGTTACACACCATTTCAGCTTGTCCATTTGAAAATCATATGCAGAAAATAAAGCAAATGGTTGGATCCAAATCTAAACTCTTAGAACAAGTGGGTAGAAGAGGTGGTGAGCTTTTTTCAAAATAAATAACTCATATTTTAGAAGAACCACTGTTCAAAATTCGCCACTGTGAAGGTCCATTATTAGCACTCAAACTTATTAAATTTATTTGTTTTATACTAGGCTTTTAATATTTTACTATAAACACACTTTATTAGCCGCCTTGTAGCAGCAAACCTAGGTTATCATTAAACGCAACGCTATTTTAGATTTAATTGAAAATCAAGTAAGTAAAACGGAAATTCGCTAGGTGTGCAGGTTTGCTGTGACGGGGGTATTTAATATTTTCTCTTACTCCTTGTGATCCTTCCCTCTTATATAGTAAAGAATTGCAGTTATTTTCAATAATCCCCTTTTATATAGAGCATGGAGGTAACTAATTTTTTTCACTTTATGAACAAATGTTTAAATATCGTAAAAAGTAATAATATTTCGAAACACCCTGTATGGAGTGGTATTTGTTTTATACTAGGCTGTTAAGATTTTACTATAAACACACTTTATTAGCCTCCTTGTAGCAGCAAACCTAAGTATTCATTAAACTATTAGACCCTTTTTTCATTAAACTATTAGATTTAATTGAAAATCGGGCAAATTAAAATTCGCTTAGTCTGCAGGTTTGCTGTGACGGGGGTATTTAATATTTTCTCTTACTCCTTGAGATCCTTCCCTCTTATATAGTAAAGAATTAGTTATTTTCAATAATCCCCTTTTATATAGAGCATGCATGGAGGTAACTAATTTTATCACTTTATGAATAAATGTTTAAATATCGTAAAAAGTAATAATATTTCTAAACACCCTGTACGGAGTGGTTTAATACACATAAAACTAGTCCCAATCGATTTAAAATAACTAAAACCATCGAAAACCACACCTCACACGACCTTAAACGTAAAAACAAAATTATTCAGGTTTAAGGGCCCTTCGGAACAAAAAGGGCCCCAAAAAGGGCCTTAGCACGCCCAAAATTTTGGGGACTCATCGGATCTTCATTTCTCATATTATTAGTAACTCACAGGTGAAATTTCATGAATGTACAAATTTTGTTGTTTATATGGAGTGTTTTTGTATTATTTTACCTGTACTAATTATTCCACCATATAACTGCTGTGGCTTGAAGAATGGCAGTGTGGTAGTCTTGGAAAACATTGCCTATTCTACTGAACTAGATACCAGTAGAGTAGGAGTGTTTAAACAAAACAACCAAACAACGCCATTTTTCTGTTTCTCATCTCGTTACAGTTTCATTTCTAGAATAAGTAACTTACATTGTGTTTTATTTAATAGACTGTGACGAAGATTCAGAACTATTTAGAAATGATGCCGAACTAATTGTTGATCGTGAACCTGAAGTGAACGAAACTGTAAAGGTTATGTGGAAGGGGAAAATAAGTGGTAGAAAAACCAAGGAGTACACCGGGAAAGTCTTAGCAAAAAGTGGTAAGTAATGATAATGAAATATAGGCTTACTACAATAACTTAAGTTGATCAAAATTCATTTTTAGCCCCTGATTTACATATAGGCCTAACAATTTACAACCTAATCCAGTCTGCAGAGGCATAGTCCAAAACAATTGTTTTCTCATTACGCCTACGATTATCATGGCGATTCCGATTAATCTGTAAGTATAGGCTTACGATATACAATTTGGGTTTAGGCCTTGTATTAGTCATGTGGGTTTTTTTTATTTTTCCATTACAAACAATATAAACTATAGTGACACCTGGTAGAAGAAGTCGAGCCATTATCATATCAAACAATCAAACATTTTATAGAAGAACGATAAACAATACAAACACAACAATATCACACATTAAAACACAACAATATCACACATTAAGGAACTTTTAAGCATAGATCCTTCCAAAATAACAATAATCCAGGGGTAGGACTTTAAAAAACATTGGAAATACAAAATTCTGATTCTTCACAAAGCTCAATATTTACAAACAAAGTTCCCCGCCTACAACAATAATAAGAGTCAGTGGTAAAACAAACACAATAAGTTCAAATGGACGGATCAATTATATGTACAATGTTGGATCACATACAAACTTAGTGAAATAGCGAATCCCAACGGTATAGAAATCTATAACAAAAATCAAGATTGGAAGAATAATGAAGTAAGACTATTAACAATATGGTGAGCATTAACAAAACTATTGCGTCCTCTAGCGCATATGAGGAGATAGTTTCCGAACGTCCACTCTCACTAAACTGCCGTCAGGGAACCACACTCGCTTCCGTTTAGCGCGATATCTTCTGTACCGCTGTGTAACCACTGGAGGTGGTGGTTGGAAAGGACGGTCGGGTGAAGGTGAACGTTTCCGTGGAGATCTCGGTGGAAGCTCGATTTGGTTCTTAGGTAGGGGTCTGAGGGCACAGTCCTCATGAGGCGGCTCTTCCAAGGTAACCTCGTCTGGGGCTTCAATAAATTCCTCTTCTATGTCTAGATCCTCCACAGGATGAATTGACAAACAAGGTGACGACGGTGACGATATGTCTTCTATGGCGTCTGAGTTTTCCCCGGGTCTTACGGCCCTACATGGACTCGGGGTCCCACCATAATCTTCCTCTATGGCCTCGTTGAGGGCTTCTAGCACGGGATCCCAGGCAATCACGATCACTTCTTCCCCCCTCGGACTTGAAACCATAATTTCAACGACTGGTTTCCAGCTGACTGTCGGTCAGTGGAAAGAGAGGTTCATTCCTAATAATGATTGTTCTTCTCAGGGCGGTGGTCACAGTTTTGCGGTATTCCCTGGGGTTGAATTCGACTTCGTCAGTTGACTGCCTCTTCAATATCTGTTCTGCGAAGAAGCAGACGAAGGACCCACAATCATTCCCGTCGGGGCTTTGCTGGAGGCAGGCTGAGCTCGGGACGAGTGTCCAGCTGATAGTAGGACTTTTCCGGAATGTCGCATACTCGCTTAGGTAGGATTGAATCTCCTTGGTCAGTTTGGGGCGTGATCGTCGCAGGGAATCATATATGTGGATTTCCAAAATCTTAGGAAATGCTGCCGCCAACACCCAGTGGAATTCTTCCTCTAAATGAACGGGAAACAATATGACGTCCCGGTCTAGGATATTTTGTTCCCCAGTCCAGCGTTTGACCCTAGCGAATCCACATTGTCGCCACGCCACCAAGAAGATAGAATCAAATGACCATATTGTGGGTGGAGCGGGGGCCAGAAGACTCCTCCTTTCAAGTAGGCGGCGGAGGTTGTAGTATCGAGCTTGGTTCTGGTACGCTTTCTCCAGATTCTCCTTTACGTTCCCTATTAGCGCGTGCATACGAGCATTTCGCTCCAGTATGACCGCCTCAAGTGGGGGTTCGATTGAATCGTTGCTGCCTTGCAGAGTATCCCGATAAAGCGCCCGCGGCATCTTTATTTCTCTGTTCAGATTCAGCATTGCGGGGATCACTGTTTTTTTAAGAATTGTTCATTGGTCCTTGGCTGACTATTTATTTGTAAGAAGATTCTTCTCTTTCTTCTCTTTGGGCCAACTGACACTCCTATTTACCTTGCATCTTGTGCAACTATTGAACCCATTGTGACCCCCTACACCCATTAAATAACTCTTTGCAGGTGCATCACAGCAAAACCCAAGAAAGTTAACTTGTATATATCTATCATTCATTGACATCCCATTAATTAATATGTCATTCATTTCTTCTATAAACAAACACAAGAAAGATAAAAGGTAATTTATGGCTTCTTTGTACCATAGTAAATACCACCTGGGAATACAGAGGCCCTGCTATCAACTACAGTGTCAGTGGATTCATTTTCTGAATTTGACTGATGTAGAGTGTGAGTGATAATATTTGTTGGGGAATCATTTTCACTTAGATAATTTAAACTCTCAGAACTGCTATCTTCCATCTGCTTCAACCGTTTTCTTTTACCATGCCAACTTAAGTTTGAAAACGTTACATTTTAATTCCTCCGCTTGGGCATCTTCAAGATTTCTAGAAAGTAATACATTTTTAAGGCTTACTTCAGTTGTAATAGCATGTTACTGACCTAAAGGCATTTATAACAAATGAAAGTTAACTTTATTGATTTAAATAGATTTAAAAGCCAACCTAAAAGTATATATTAATTTATCAATTCCAGCAATCTAAAATTAACCTTAGAACTTTTTATCGAATTTCCTGATTTGGAAGTCGCTCTTTACGTAAGTGGCACAATGAGACTTAAGCCCGAAACGGTTTTAAGTTTATTTTTATGGTCACCCAAGGCCAAAAACATTGGCTGTTAAACTTAATTGCTTGTTGTAAAAGTTAAGTACGATTGAGAAAACCCTCATCAGAGTGCGATGTGAGCCAGCCCCCGTATTCTATAGCCCCACAGCAGGCCTACTTAATTAACATCATCATTATGCACAATGTGTACAAAATAAGCACACGTCAAACAAAAATCTAGATTAATTACATGCAACAGAAATTTATCACCAATTCATCAAATTTTAATCATCAAATCTGTACTTACAGTAGACTCCCTCTTATCTGGACTCCTCGGGACCGAGGCCAGTCCGAATAAAAGGTTTTCCGGTTAAACCGACGTCCCTCAAAACTCGTTAAAACGTACTGTAGTTTCTTATTGTGTCCACAATCAGGCATCCCATGGGAGACCTTGACCTGAGTATCCGTAACAAAACCAAAATCTTGAAACACTAGGCCTACTTTTTAGAAGTTTAGCTGAAAAATTTACAAAATTATGAAGGCTATCTAGATCTTAAAAGTTTTTTTATGGTTGTAGGCTAAACTTTCTGATCAGTTGGCAAACGATGCTAAAAGAAAGGATATCTTAACCTAAAAAATGTGCCCAGGCTAGGCCTACTTAGCGTTATTACGAAACGTACCTTTCATGCTCGGCTACACTCTTTCTCCAAATGGCGACATCTCTCACTCTCTTCCTGCCTCTTTCTTGAACAGAAACAAAACTACCATCGCTACTAGAATCCATCGTGATAAGTAATTTTGTCTTAGTTTAGCACATAAGTTCGTCAAGAACGAAGAAAATGTACCAAAATTCTAGCGTCAAATTTATGGAAATTACCACAGAGTACTTAATATAGTGGAAGTATCTGTAGTAGGCTTCTTTTGGAATTACATGGATAAGGCACGTTTTGGAACCATTTATCTTTGGATAAGACTGTTTCTGGAATTAACTTGAAATTTTCAGCTCTTTTTATGGTATAGGATTTTTTCGGGTCGTACTTTTTACTTTAACAGATGCAAGTTTCAGTGTTGGAAAAAATGGCGTAAAAAATCAAATTTCCAATTTTTGTGGACAAGGCAGGTTTTGGAACTATACGACTCATATATATATAAATATATATACCATCGCTATATATGAACTTGAATGGATTGTGTATTTGGCCTCTAGGGACCTCAAAACGAAAAAGTAAATCGGTCCCGGGTCCAGGTCTTACCATGAGTACTACGGTATTAGCTTATTCCCTATATAGGAAATTCGCTAAAACCCATGTGACATAAAGTGAGTAGCCTATATAGATTTTTTTTTATCTAGCCATCATAACATTTTACCGTCCAAAGTTTTAAACTATGTTATTTCATCATTAAACATTTGCAGATTTATATCAAAAGAAATGATTTTAAATCAATTCTAGGCCTAAATTAAAAAAAGATCATCTTTGATAGCTTTTTGCCAGTCGAAGAAGTAGTATCTGAGAAGTATGTTATGGTGTTGTGAAGTTTCCACAGTTCTACTTTGCTGTTATTGACTCTTCTCGCTCCTTTTCCCTATATCTTTTTCCAGAAATTGTCTTGGGAGAAACTGTTAATACATCAGTTATATAAGAAATAGAATTTTTTTAATTCAGGTAGAGGCAACAAAAGGACACAGCTTGAATTTTCTGAGTCACTGCTTAGGCCTATCTCGTATCGTCCACATTTAATCTTTGGCTTTTTATTTAAATACTATACAGCCGGATCTGAATTTCTACAATTAATTGTTTTATGTTTTCAGACCGTTTCTTTTTCCTTCTTCTGTTCCACTACCAAGATCAGAATGGATTTCGGAGACCTTGACATTTTCTCTGGCTTTTGCCAATGACTCTGTAACAAGTTTATACAAATATAAAAATTATAATAAAACAAGACAAGCATTTTAAAATATATTTATAGGGCAGTGACACAGCCGTTATCAAAATGGTATATAGATAAAAACGAAAGCATGATAATATAATTAAAAATATTAATTTACGGGGGTCACAATATTCATAATAAGTTAATCGTTAAAAACCATCATGTAACCTTGAAGGTTGTGTCCCGTCTCGTACATATTGTTTGTGTAATCTATAGACTAGTTAACTTATAACACAGCACTAGGCCTATCTAAAACAAATGATAGTGGCCTATCTAAAACAAATGATAGTGATATACTATTATTTTAAAGAAGATATTAAGATAAATTGGTAACGATTAAATTACGGCATCAACTCTTGGACGTTTCAACCAGTCTAAGACATTCCTATGATTGCATTTGGAACATACTCTAACAGTGTCTTTAATTTTATACTGTAGTTTCAGGGAAGGTTGCAGCATTGGACAAGGGACATACATTTGCTGGTTCGAGAAATGTCCGTCTGTTGAGTGGCATCCTCATCATGTCTGGTGAAGGAATGTTACCGGGCTTGTACTGAGGATAATTGTTGTAAATTGTCCCCTCCTGTGTGTACGCTGGCTGGCTATTATTTTCAAGATGATATTAAAATACATTGGTAACGAATAAATTACGGCATCAACTCTTGAACCTTTCAACCAGTCTAAGGCATTCCTTAAGCTCACCAACTCTTTAACCCACTTGTTCTAAGGGTTTAGATTTGGATCCAACCATTCGATTTATTTTCTGCATATGATTTTCAAATCGAAAAGCTGAAATGGTGTGTAAAGTGACATTAGGAATTGTTTGAGAAAAGTGGATGACATCATCAACTACATGTATTAGCCCATGAAAATTATGTGTTATCAAACTTTGATCATACAAGTTAATTGTATTTGTTACAAAGAGTTCTAACAAATCTTGATTATAACGGAGCTTATAATTATGTTTACATGTATTGCTATTAAGTAAAATTACAGCAATATGAAGTGTCAAAAAGTCTCCGGACTTGTCTGGATAAATATCCTTTAAAACAACAGATCCTAAATTAAGTAAAAACGTTTTGAATTCAGTTGCCTTCCAATATTTCAGATTTTATAGTTCACGAGGTCGTGCAAGTTCTTCAGGGACTGCATTCCTTAAAGAGAGAAGATTTTCGGACAAAATTGTTTGTTGGCTGACTGAAATTCTTGCTGTAATAGGCTGCCCTGAACACCAAGTGAATAGCATTTTACGCATTACTCCAAGACAGATCAAATGCATATAGTCAAGAATAAAATCATTGACAAAGTTGAGATTTTGAATTTGTGTTAAGGGTGTTGTACGTCTTGGATCACTGTTTTCTAGGAATTGTTCATTGGTCCTTGTCTGACTATTTATTTGTAAGAAGATTCTTCTCTTTCTTCTCTTTGGGCCAACTGACACTCCTTTTTACCTTGCATCTTGTCCAACTATTGTACCCACTGTGACCCCCTACACCCATTAAATAACTCTTTGCAGCTGCATCACAGCAAAACCCAAGAAAGTTAACTTGTACATATCTGTCATTCATTGACACCTCATTAATTAATATGTCATTCATTTCTTCTATAAACAAACACAAGAAAGATGAAAGGTCAAATGGCTTCTTTGTACCATAGTAAATACCAACTGGGATTACAAGATTCTCCAACTGCTGGATTGTTGGCAATGAAAAGAGGATCGGAATCATTTCACTTGGAGAACTTCGATACAGGCTCAGACCATTGATGTTAACCAAGATATGTAGTACTTTAATGTCAATAGCTAAATTAAATAGTTAAATAAAATACAATTGATTTTTTTAATCCTATATGAATATAATTCCCAGGAGGTACTTGCATACTCTCAAAATCTTTTGGTGTGTTCATAATTGTTCTACCATCTTAAGGGAGAGTTCTTCCATCTGCTTTAACCGTTTTCTTTTACCATGCCAACTTAGGTTTGAAAACGTTACATCATAATTCCTCCGCTTGGGCATCTTCAAGATTTCTAAAAAGTAATACATTTTTAAGGCTTACTTCAGTTGTAATAGCATGTTACTGACCTAAAGGCATTTATAACAAATGAAAGTTAACTTTATTGATTTGAATAGATTTAAAAGCCAATCTAAAAGTATATATGAATTTATCGATTCCAGTAAATTAAATTTAGATTCCAGAAATCTAAATTTAACCTGAGAACATTATTTTTTTTTAATTTCCTGATTTGGAAGTAGCTCTTTCCGTAAGTGGCACAATGAGACTTAAGCCCGAAACTGAT